AGGTTTGTGAGTAGCTTTCTTTGTTCTTGGGGGCAAATTCCATAGTTCCTTTCTTCTGTTCTTAACTCCAGAACCACATGGCCTACACTGCCAACTTCTGCTGGTTACTGGGGCTGGAACATGGCCCCCTAGTTCAATTACATCTTTACCAGCTTTCTGTCCTTTATTGCCTAAGCTTGGCTGTCCTGAAATTTGCTCTGCAGACCAGACTGGCCTCAAACTCAGAGACCCACCAGCCTCTGCCTTCCCAGTGCTGGGATTAAAGGTGTGCACCACCACTCCCAGCTCTAAGCTTTTCTTTAGTTCCTTTCACAAGTTGGAAATTTCCCTAGGTGGAATCTTGCCCTGAGGTCACCACTCCCTTTATTCCATTTCTTAATCCCCTTATCTGTTTGAACACAGGATTTAGCTCTATTCCATTTCCTGGTACTCTTTTTCTCCTCAAAATGTACTTTTTGTAATTTACTATGCTCAGCTTGCTACTTTTCATTATAAATCTTCATCAGAGTTACCACTAATGTCCACATGACAGAGTCTATACTAGGCTGTTTGGAGATTTCTTCTGCTAACAGAGTTAATCCAAAACTCTTCACTTTAGCCTCAGGCAGACTCTTAGGACAAGGTCAAAAGGAAGCCACTTTATTCACCAAAATAGCACAAGAGTAATCTCTAGCCAACATACTAAAATTCTTCTCCTCTGAAACTCTTGAGTGAGCCCAACATTTCAAATAACTCTTAGTACCTCTGTCTTCCATGCTCCTACTAGTATGGCCCATTAAACAGTGCTTAAAGCATCCATTGCTTTCATAACCCAAAGTACCAAAGTCCAAATTCTTCAAAACAAACACATGGTCAGGCCTATCATAGCAATACCCCAGTCTTGGTACCAACTTCTGTCTTAGTTAAGGTTTCTATTGCTATGAAGAAACACCGTGATCACAGCAAGTCTTATAAAGAAAACATCTACTTGGGGTGACTCACTTAAAGTTTCAGAGGTTCAGTCCATTATCATTATGGCAGGAAGCATGGTGGCATGCAGGAAGACTTGATGTTGAAACTGGGAGTCCTTACATCTTGACAGACAGGCAGTAGGAAGTTGACTATCACACTGAGGGAAGCTTGAGCAAAAGAGACTTCAAAGCCCACCCCAACAGTGATACACTTCCTCCAACAAGGTCACACCTCCTAACAGCACTACTCCCTTAGAGGGCCATTTTCTTTTAAACCACCAGAAGAGGCAGACAATATCTATCTATCTATCCATCCATCTATCTATCTATCTATCTATTTATTTATTTATTTATTTATTTATGGTTCTTTTTTGAGACAGGGTTTCTCTATGAAACAGTCCTGGCTATCATGGAACTCATTCTGTAAACTAGGCTGGCCTTGAACTCACAGAGATCTGCCTGCCTCTGCCTCGAGTGCTGGGATTAAAAATATTCGCCACCACTGCCCAGCTGGCAGACAATATCATATAGCAAGGGAAAAGTGAGCAGCTAAATATGAGATTGTATTCTTTCAGGCTAGTGATAGCATTTCCTGTTTTTAAAATGAACAGCCCTAGTTGGAAATGGTGAGTGGAGATCAACAAGCTGAAGGGTTGATGGGGCTTCAAGGAATGTAGAAAAGAGAACCTGTCCTCATGTTCCCAGAGAGCTCTGTTGATAAATAATCTGTATGTAGTTATATTGACCATCTGGGCTCAGACAAAGCTCAGCCACATAGTAGGTCTTCAATCCATCATGAGGCTTTGGGGATTTTGGTTAATAGTGCAATTAATATAGAGAGCATCTTGGGTTTCTCGAGCTAAATGCATAGTGTGTATCACCCTCCACTCCCTCTGGCAGCCATAATAATATTTCAGCATGGTCCTTGGTCATTTGCCACACCGCAGACCTCACAGCCCAACTACAAGGCCACTGAAGATCTGTTGAGGTTACTTCTATTGAGTTATACCCAAGACAGTTTGACTTTTCTCCAGCATCACTATAAGCTCATGAGAAGACCGGTCAGGCTACCCTCTCTGCATAGGTTGGACATGCTGTTATTGCTAGCCTTCTGCCGGCATACAAGGATGCCTCAGGAAGTTCCTTGGGAAGGTGTTACTGGGAGTCGGGTAGGGTAGGATAAGATGCAGAGACTCCCCTTTAAGGTGCACCTGTGGGGTCTCCTCTGCCTTTCCTGAGAATTTAGTTTTCTTCTCACTCAGCACTTCTTCCAAGCCAACACATATGACAACCGTTTTCACCCCTTTGTCCTTAAAGGTCATACTTCCATTACTCAAAGGTCACATTTTGTGGCTTAAAAATGTCCTACTTCTCATTTCTCTCTGCCAAATATTGATGTGGAATGGTCCATTTAAAGTACAGCAAAGAGATTTGTGGTGGTATTGTGTTCCCCAAAATATTGTGTACTCTAATAAACTTACCTGGGGTCAGAGAACAGGACAGCCATAATATTAAACATAGAGGTTAGGCAGTGGTAGCACACACCTTTAATCCTAGCATTCCAGAGGCAGAAATCCATCTGGGATCTCTGTGAGTTCAAGGCCACATTGGAAACACCTAGGCTTGATGACTCACGCCTTTAATCCCAGAAAGTGAGCCTTTAATCCCAGGGAGTGATAGCAGCAAGCAGAAAGATATATAAAGCGTGAAGATCAGAAACTAGAAGCTTTCAGCTGGTTAAGCTTTTGGTTAGTTAAGCATTCAGGCTTTGGAGCAACAGTTCAGCTGAGATTCATTTGGATAAGGACTCAGAGGCTTCCAGTCTGAGGAAACAGGATCAGCTGAGGAACTGGCGAGGTCAGGTAGCTGTGGCTTGTTCTGCTTCTCTGGTCTTCTAGCATTCACCCCAATAACTGGCCTCAGGTTTGTTGTTATTAATAAGATCATTTAAGATTCCTGCTACAAGATTGCTCAGTGAATAAGAGTGAAGATCTGAGTTTGAATCCCCAAAACTCATGTAAAAAGCTTGGTGAGGTCATGCACATGTTTGTAACCCCAATGTAGCATTGAGGAAATCACTGGAGTTTACTGGCTACAGGCCTAGCTTCAGGTTCAATGTGAGAAACCCTGTCTGAAGGGATTCAGATGGAGAGTGACAGAGCAGGACACCCAGTCTTCCCCTGGCCTACATGCATGCACAGACTCATACATTTACAGGGAACACAGAGACATACAACTACCACCCGACACACACATACAAATCCAAAATTTGTTTTTGTGAAATTTTACCTCCTTGTAGTTTTTCATCTTGGGTAATAATGGGGAACTGAGATGTCAGGTTAATACTTGAATGATTTTCCCACATCACAGATTGTTCCCATCATGAAAAAAGAGGTAGAACAAACCCAGATAGAATAAAAGCAGGGCACATCTGTCTCAGAATTAGTCACTAGGCAAGAGAAAAAAAATGGTGGAAAGGGCTTCTTAAGTCAGCATGAGAGAAAGAAGAGAAAGTAAAGAGCTATTAAAGCATGCTGGGTCTTTTAGTAGATATTATTTTCTATATAGCCATAGAGTCATAAACATAACTCAATAATAAATAGCAACCTCGTGAATAATATTGAGCCAAGGCTTATTTAGGAATCCCCAATACACCTGAGTCAAATTCACATCATATCTTGCTACATGTCCCATTAAGTCTGTATAAATAACAGAGTACAAATGCTAAAGGTGTTATGTGACAGTAGTTGACAGAAGTCCTAGAATTCATTACCAGAAGTGGGGGGTAAGAGGACCACCATAGACAGATCAAAGAAAGGCTCATCACCCCATGAGATAAGGGAGTAAAGAGGGCTAGAATGATGAGGTCCCCATGACAAGGAACCTTGAGGACAGAGTATTGGATATTTTAGGTAGAATTAGGGTTGACAATACTTGAGAGATAACCTCTCAGATTTTCAGTTGTATTTATCTAAAAGAGGCAGGCAACTTTATTTATTTATTTTTATTTATTCTTCTCTCATACATTACATCCTGACCTCAGTTTCCACTCCTCCTATCCTCCCAGTGCCCCCTCATCCCCTCTCCTCCAGATTCACTCCTCCTTCGTTTCTCTTAAGAAAAGAGCAGGCTCTTCAGGGATGTCGACTGAACACGGCCCGACAAGATGCAGTAAGAGTAGGCGCACATATCCAAGCTGGATGAGGTAATCCAATAGGAGGAAAAGGGTCCTGAGATCAGGCAAGAGAGTCGGAGACACCCCCACTTCCACAGTTAGGAGTCCCACAGGAACACCAAGCTACATAAGCATAACATATATTCAGAGGATCTACCTCAGACCCATTCAGGCTCTATGACTGTTGCTTCAGTCTCTGTGAGCACTTATGAGCCTTGCTTAGTTGATTCTGTAGGTCATGTTTTTATGGGGTCCTTGGCCCTCTGGCTCCTACAATGAGGCAGGCAGTTTTTAAATCGAAGATGTCTCCATATTTTGCAGAGAAGCATCTAGTATTGAAGAAAACACTGAGGGAGTAAATTGAACTTTTACCAAAGAAATATGTTGATATACACATTCAAACCATGGTCAAGATCAAGTCACCATACAAGGCAGGAGCTTTGAGTATGCAAATACACTAGCTCTGTGTGAAAAGAAGTCAGTCTCGGTTAAAATGGATAACTGTAGATTTGGTTGTAAGCTGGGTTCCCCATGAAGCAAGACTGAGGCAACAGCCTAGGCAATGCTACTTCATTAAGGATTGTAGCCCAGGAGAAGTGGAAGCAAGGAGAAATGGGACAGAGGCAGTGAAGAGGGCCAGGCCACTGTGAAGACAAATATTTTGTCCACAGACACACAGCAGTTAAATGCTTGATCCATGATCCAGCTCCATGGAGTTTGTCTCGCCAGCAGAGACTTAAACCTTCTGTTGTATACGTGTGTGTGCGTGCGTGCGCGCACATGTATATGTATATGTGTGTATGTTATAATACATATGCAGTTAAAAAATAAAATTGCAATTACTTCTCTTTTCAAAATTTGTTTCTTTTCCTCAGAAGCAGTCCTAAAGCACCCATGAAGTGGACGTAAGACGTGCATATTTGGAGGCTGGGCAGATGGCTCAGTGGTTAAGAGCTTTGGGGGCTCTTTCAGACTAGAGTCTGGTACCCAGCCCTCTCAAGGGGTGGTTCACAACTGCCTCAAACTCCAGCTTCAAGGGATATAATGCCCTCTTCTGGCCTCCCTGAGCACCTGCATGTACTTGCATAAAGACATATACACATCAATAAAAAATTAAAATTCTTGCTTTATAAAAAAAGAATATGCATATTTGCCAAATGATATTCAAACACCACAGCCTCTGAAAATCAATTCATCTACTGGAGTTATGATTTTAAGATAGGAAGTTATGTCATAGCTTAATTATGATAGTGACCACAAGGCTGCCAATCACCCACATGACCCCACTGAGTGGCAAGACAACACCCCTGAAAAAGGATCTTGGTGACTAGAAAGTGTCTCAGGTGGGTTAGGAAACAATTCCTTTCTCTGGAACTGTGCAGATGTCAGTACACGAGTCCTCAGAGATTAATTTGATAGGGGAATTCAAGGATTTGAACAATGTATAGAAAGGTCCCAGTATAAACCTGGAGCAAATCTCAATTTCTAGTCCAGAAAACATCCCAAAGCAAATCTCTTTGCCCACTTTGAATGTATTTCCTTTTCAGGCTCCACAGATGTCCTTTCTCATAAATTCAAAAGTATCTGCACGTTCCAAGGTGAGTTGGGAATCTTCCTTTTATTGCCAGCAGTTTGCTGGCGGATCCGACATTAAAAAAAAATACAGCACTCACTTTCAAGAGGGTGACCCTCTTTCCCAGTCCTTCCCTAAACTTCTTCCAATTCCATTTGCTCTCCTCACCTCTGTGTTTACGGTTAGTGTTCCCAGGGGTATCTGAAGACCCTTCTAGATGTTAGGACTTCTCGTTCAGATGGGTAAGGATGCATTCTTCCCTCCAAATTGCCTCATAGAGAGACAGCATCTGTCTAAGGCTAAAAGAGTCTCTAGAGAACTTATTTTAGCTGTGTGCCAACTATCCCATTTTGCATGCTTCCTGGGAAAAACACAATACACCCCGTCTCTGCAGGAGGAAGCAACAGAGAGATTGGTTCCATGGAAACATCTCAAAGGAAATTTATAATGCTGTTGGGAAATTTCAGCCCTTTAAAGCAAGCTGGTTTGTGAGCACAGGAAGCAAATTTTTATCGCTTCGTGACTATGTCTTCTGTCATGCATTTTTTTTTGGGGGGAAGGAGGAAGGACAGCAGTCCCAGGTCCAGTGGTCTCTCCTTATTGGCATGTGTGGGAGAGTATTTTGAAAGACCATTAGTTCTTGACCTTGAACAGAATATGTGCTTTCCAGGAGAAAGTCCTTGCACGTGTGTGAGCATATCCACATGCTCTACATGACCTGCAGAGATGGTTAGTTCCCTATGAACAAGCTTCCCTCTACTTTCTTATATGTCACTGGGGCCAGAAACAAAAATGCCCCCCTAAGAATGTATCCCTCCCCCATATCTTCCAGCAGTTAAGGATAGAGAGTTAACCAAACTCTGGCATATGCATGGGATCTGGCAGGAGCAGCCAATCTTTTGACATTCCGTTTGTCATCGACAAAGTTCACACGAGAACCATGGAGTCCAGCTCCCCCCAAAAAGTTTCCAAATCTCATAATGTTCTAAGTAAGCTCACAATTTTGTAGGGGCACAATTATAGCTACCCTGGCACGCATGTGGCCCACAGGCCATAGGTTGGGTATACCTGTAGGAATTTCTGTGGCACCAGAAAAATAGATAGAAAACTTCCTCTGCTAGGTTGTGTAGTGGGTAGCCATTCCAGCTTTGATCTGGAAGTTCCACCCCCATTGAGACTTTGGCAACTGTCACGCCTACAAGGTGGGGCCAAGGGAGGCGCCTGGAGACCTGAGATCTGGATGGGTGGTACACGGGGACCTTGGACGGTGATGGTGGGCCAAGCAGAGCTCCGGAGAACACTGCTGGACTGCGATACACCTTCCCCAGACCCTGTGACCTACCTATCCCTTAACTTGTAAGTTACGCCATTAAATAAATCTCCTTTTAACTACATGGAGTGGCCTTAATAATTTCACCAATATCTGGCGCCCAACGTGGGGCACGAACCCATGACCTTGGGATTAAGAGTCCCATGGAGAATTGAGGAAGGAAAAAGGGAAGGAGAGACCGGTTGGAGCCACCGCCAAGACAAGGAAGATGTAAAGTACCGGTAAGCCGCGAGCCACATGGCAAAGTAAAGATTAATAGAAATGGGCTGAATATAAGAGTGAGAGCTAGACAATGATAGGCCTGAGCTAATGGCCAAGCAGTTTAAATAATGTAAGAGTCTGTGTGTTTATTTTATAAGTGGGCTCTGGGACTGGCGGGACTTGGCGGTGGTCTCCAGCTACAAATGGCGCCCAATGTAGTGGCAAGAGTTTCCACCTAAAAACTGAGAAAAAAAGATTCTAAAATGGAGCTAAAAACAGCTTCCTAATTGTCTCTCTCAAATGAGCGGCAGCTGCTGGTTTGAGCTACTTGTGGGTTCCTAGAGTATGCCCTATGGCGGGAATGAGGCCTCTGCAAGTAGCACATTAAGCTGCATGGTGGATTTAGCCTTTGCTAGTACAAAACAAAAAAAAGAGGTTTCTGGGCTACATGCTGCTTGGATAAAAGCATAGACCCACGATAGCTCCCAGAGCTGGTTAAACCACCACCATGTTGGGAAGCTGAGGTGGGTGGAGCCAGCAGCCACAGCTGCTACAGTTTAAAGCAATAGATTCACAATAAGACAGATTCAGATGTAATAGTTTACAATGTGTGTAAAAGATATGTAGGCTTGAAAGAGACAAAAAAAGGTGATATATAGAGTTATAGAAACAAATACATAGTTTTAAAAAGTAAAGTCTTTAAAGAGACAGTAAAGGTAGTATAAAAAATAAGCCACGTAAAAATGGATATTACACAGAGAATCTGGATTGTGTTGTCTTTGGGATTTTTAACTGCAGAAAAACATTTGATCATAAAAGATGTTGAGTTAAACCAATATGTATATTTTAAAGATACCATGACTTCAAAATTTGGATATAAGGATATGTTGCTTTGGAAAAGAATCTCTGCTTTTGTTCCCACAGAAAGCCAGAGGCTATGGATTTGTTCCAGATTAAGATACATCAGGTTTGACCAGCCAAGACCCCCTGAAAGGTCTCTGATGACACCATGGCCCAGATGATCCAACATCCAGAATGGTTTGAAGGCAATTGGCTCAGACAATACAGCCTCATGGACTATTCCATAATCCTAAAATTTTCTTTGTGTCCCCATAAGATACAGCGCCCCCCTCCAGCAGGAAGTAGTAAGAGAAGCTACGCCCAAATTCCCAAATTATATGTAATTTTACTTTGTAAAGGTTAAAACCTTCCTTTTTGAAAAAAAAAAGGGGAAAGTGCTGTGGGATGTTCTGTATGGCAAATGTGTTGCTGATTGGTCAATAAATAAAACACTGATTGGCCATTGGCTAGGCAGGAAGTGTAGGCGGGACAAGGAGGAGAATAAAGCTGGAAAGTGGAAGGCTGAGTCAGAGAGACACTGCCAGCCACCATGATGACAAACAGCATGTGAAGATGCCGGTAAGCCATGAGCCATGTGGCAAGGTATAGATTTATGGAAATGGATTAATTTAAGCTGTAAGAACAGTTAGCAAGAAGCCTGCCACGGCCATACAGTTTATAACCAATATAAGTCTCTGTGTTTACTTGGTCGGGTCTGAGTGGCTGTGGGACTGGCAGGTGAGAGAGATTTGTCCTGACTGTGGGCCAGGCAGGAAAACTCTAGCTACAAGGTTGTTCCTCCTTCTTTGGACCTGCAGGCTGGAAATTCACCTATCCTACTGAATGGCCCATGAGCTGGTATAATACTCTTTTAGCTAAGGGTAGCAATGAAGAAAGACAGAAGGAGCCTTGTTTCCTAATGACAGAGAGTTGTCACATTAGCCTTTGACCTACTGACTCCAGTCTTACTATGTCTGAGAGTGGAGAAGGTTCTACTTTGTTTTAGCTAAGGTTGTTTTGTTTTTCTATCCTTTGCAGCAATAACTTACCTTAGCAGATATGCTCCTAATGAGAATGTATCTCTTTTTCATGAGATGAGAATGAGCCACATTCCTAATGACTGACCAGATAGTTACTGCTATATGTTTTAGTGATTTTTCTGGTGGTATCCAAGAAAAGTCAACGAGAACTAGGAAAGGAGAACATACTGTGAAGGGTAGATAGACCTGTCTGGCCCACCATTTCACTCTTCGGTTGGATCTCTGATAGTCATCATAAGCAGTATCTTATATACACATCTGGCTTATTCCACTCATTGCGATGTCCTCCATATTTATATCTGCTATTGTGAATGGCATCATTTCCTTCTTGTCCTAATGTTGGCTGCTGAACTACACTTTTCACCATCTACCTCCCTGTGGACACTGAGCTTGCTTCTAGGTGTTGACATTCTGAATATTGCTGCGATGAGTGTGAAAGAGTTCAGCAATGTTTCAAGGTCTTGCTTTGAGTGCCTTCCGATACATATCCAGTAGAAAGAAAGACAGCTCTAGCCTGCAGTGCTTACTTTCCTGAGGAACCACTCTGTTTTCAGTGGTAGCTGCATAACTTTCCATTCCCACCAACAGCATACAACAGTTCTCTTTTCTCTACATCTTCACCAACATTTCTCAGTTTTTCAATATAGTAGACACACTAACAGGTGTATAAGCAGTACTTGCTTGTGACATTGATTTAAATTCTTCTTGAGGATTGGTGATGTTGAGCATCTTTTATGCATCTATTGGCCATTGTGTTTATTCTTTAGAAAAGTATCTATTTGGTTCCTTGCATGTATTTTAAACCTTTGTTTTGCTATATATATTTGGTATTAAGTTGTATATATTATGAATATTCATTCTATGCCAGATATACAGATTACCAGTGATTCTTTTTTCTTCTGGTGCTGAACTTCTCTGTTGAATTTTTAAGCTCAATTATTTGGTTCTTCTGCTTTAGAATTTGTCCTTTTTGTGTGGATTTTGTATCCACTGGCCACCCTAGTTTCGTTCACTTATTATTTTTCTGATATATTTGGGCTTTGTCTTAGCTAGGGTTTATATTACTGTGAAGAGACACCATGACCATGGAAACTCTTATGAAGAAAAACATTTAATTGAGGTGATAACTTACAGTTTCAGAGATTCAGTCTATTATTTGATGGGACATGGCAGTGTACAGACAGATGTAGTGATAGAGAGGTAGCTGAGAGTCCTACGTCTTTCAGGCCATAGGAAGTGGTCTGTGACACTGGGAATAGCTTGAGCACAGAAGACCTCAAAGCCTACCCCCACAGTGACACACTTCCTATAACAAGACCACGCCTACCCCAACAAGGCCACATCTCCTAATAGTGCCACTCCCTTTGGGGGCCACTTTCTTCCAAACCACCACATTCCACTCCCTGGCCCCCTAAGACTTATAGCTGTATCATAATGCAGAAATGCATTCAGTCCAACTTCAAAAGTCCCCATGTCTATAACAGTCTCAAACTTATTTAAAAGTCTAAAGTTCAAAGTCTTTTCTTAGGTTCATGCTATCTCTTAACTGTAATCTCCTGTAAAATCAAAATAAAAAAAAAACAGAGCACGTATTTCCAACCTATAATAGCATAGGATATATGTTACTGTTCTAAAACATAGGGAAAGAAGCATAGTAAGAAAATTCTAGACCAAAACAAGACCCAAAACCAGCTGGGCAAACTCCAAACTCTGCATCTCCATGTCTGATGTCAAAATATTCTTCAGATCTCCAATTCCATTCAGCTTTGTTGACTGCAATATACTTCTTTCTCTTGAGCTGGTTCCACTCACTATAAGCAGCTCTCCTTGGCAGGTATTCCATAATGCTGACATCTCCAACATCTTGGGGTCTCCAAGGCAATCCAGGCTTCACCTTCACAGCTTCATGCAATGGCCTCTCTAGGCCTCCCTTCAAGGACATCCCAGCCCCATGACTGGCCTCAGCAGCTTTCCTTAGATGCAGAGGCAAATTCCATAACCCATTTTTTTTTCTATCTTTAACTCTAAATCCAGAAAGACATGACCAAAGCTGCCAAGTTCAGCTGCCTGCTGGGGCTGGAACATGGCCCCTGTGTTCAATTACATCTTTACCAGCTTTCTGTCCTTTATTGCCTAATCTTGGCTGTTCTGGAACAAACTTGCTCTGCAGACCAGACTGGCCTCAAACTCAGAGATACAACAGTCTCTGCCTCTGGAGTGCTGGAATTAAAGGCATGGAGCACCACACCTGGCTCTAAGCTTCTCTTCAATCCCTTTTCACAGGTTGGAATCTTAGCTGGGTGGGATCTTGTCCTGAGGTCAGCACTCCCTTTATTCTATTTTCAAATCTGTCTATGTCCTTGAACACAGGACTTAGCTCTATTCCACTTCCTGGTGTCTCTTTTCTCAATCTGTACATCTTGTATTTTTATTTGCTCAGCTTTCTCCCTTTCATTATAAATCTTCATCAGAGTTACTGGTAATAACCACATGACAGAGTCTACACTAGGCTGTTTTGAGTTTTCTACTGATAATGGAATTCATCCAAAACTTTTCACTTTAGCCTCAGGCAGACTTTTCAGACAAGGACAGAAAGCAGCCACATTCTTCACCAAAATATCACAAGACCAGCCTCCAGGCCACATACTAACACTCTTCTCCTCTGAAACCTCTTGATCCCCACAGTTCAAATCATTCTCAGCACCACTGTCTTCCATGCTCCTACTGGTATGGCTCATTAAGCAGTGCTTAAAGCATCCCACTGCTTTCCTAACCCAAAGTGCCCAAGTCCAAATTCCTCCAAACAAAAACATGGTCAGACCTATCACAGCAATACCTCAGTCCCAGTACCAACTTCTGTCTTAGTTAGGGTTTCTATTGCTGTAAAGAGACATCATGACCACAGCAACTCTTATAAAGGAAAACATTTCATTGAAGTGGCAGCTACAGTTACAGAGGTTCAGTCCATTATCATCATGGTGGGACATAGTGACGTGCAGGCAGACACAGTTTTGGAGAGGGAGCTGAGAACCCTACATCTTGCAGGTAACAAGAAGTGGTCTCTGATGCTGGGATTAGCTTGAGCATAGGAGACCTTAAAGCCCACACCCACAGTGATATACTTCCTCCAACAAGGCCACATCTACCCCAACAAAGCCACATTAGTGGCCTTCTAATAATACCACTCTCTTTGGGGGTCATTTTCTTTCAAACCACCACAGGCTTGTATCTCTCTTTTCTTGCAGATCACTGACCTTCTTAAACTGGTTGTTTTTAATTTTAATTTTTTATTTTTTTGCCAGACAGCTGGTATGTCTCAGATTTTTTTCTTTGTTTTTGTAGCATGTGCTGCTAGAGATTCATTTTGTTCCTCTGGTGGAGCTATGTTTCCTTACGCCCTTGTGATCCTATAGCTTCTTGTTGGTGCCTGCATCTTTGAAGAAATTATCAGCAATGTAAGCGTTGCCGTATCCACTTCAGCACCAAAAGCTTTTCCTTGTTTGCCGTAGCCAGAGACTCGGCACATGCTGATTGCTGCTGGAGATTGCAAGTTAGTAGGCTTGCTGATGTGTCTAAGGATGGACAGCTCAACTGGGCCCTATTTGGGTGTCCACAGAGAAGCCATATCTATGGACGATGGGGGTTTCTCCTGGTGCTATGCTGCACAGCCTTGGGGGAGAAGTAATGTAGGCAAAGTCAAATGGTCCTTTTCCTCCTTGGTCTTTGTTCTCGCTGGGAATTGTGACACTTACACCCATTCCAGGGCTCTCGTGATGGCGGTTTCCTCAAATTATTGTTAACTCTGTGTTTTTAATTCTTGAATAATGTACCATGTGTCACACTCTAATTGTTCAAGTCATCCCCAATCCACATTCAAAGGACACAGATGAATGCGTGAATGAGAATATATTAACTGCAAAAATTACTTGGGACTGAAATGAATTTATCAAACTTAATTTTTATTAACAAAAACGCTAGTGTTGAGTAACGTGTAGTGTAAGAATATAAAAATAGAAGGCTCAGGGAAAGTGGGGAAATTGGTCAGCTTGTTTTCTACGGCACTCCCTGTCCACCACCCCCGACCTAAACTTGTCAGCAGGCCAAGGTCCCATCAGCCTCATTCCAGCCCTCCCTCCCTCATTGCTGCTCAGCACAGACAGCCACCTCTGTCCTAAATCTGCTTCCTCAGTGTCCTGCATTTGGCTGTAACTAACAAACTAATTCAGGTCCAAGAATTAAGAACTGATAATGACTAAATACCTTATTTGTCCCTGAAGGCAATTTTACTTTAATTTTGAATTCCTCCGACTTAAACTATAGAAATGAAAAATGGAAGAATGGTGTGCCCTTGGCTGGCCAGTAGAGGCTGTGTTTTTGGGAAGCCAGCCACGGCTGGCATTCTTTAAATCACAAGATGCAGGCAACTCATCACACATAGGCTTGTCCTGAATGTTTTGTGACCTCTCTAACCCACCCCCCACCCCCGAGTGGTTATAAAAACAAAAACAAATACAGAAACAAACAATCAGATTCCTTTTCTCCTAATGGCAGCTCTAACTTCTAAGTCACACTCTTGTTTCTGTCTCCAAAGGCCCTGATTTAATAATATGGTGGTTCTGTTTAGCTCCAGCAGTCAACATTTGAAGCCCAGAAATTGAGAGGAGGACTGGTTTTTCTCACGTCCTCCACTGCAGTCCAAATGGCAATGGGACATATTTTGACCGGTCCTGGTTTGACGTTTCTGTGTAATCAACAAGGCATCGAAAGCGAGGCGGACTTAGGAGCACTTTGTTCTTCTTCGAAGTGGAGTACTGAATAAATGCCTCTTTCCCATTGGAAAAAAAAAATCCTATGAGTAACCATAGCAATAATAA